TCGTTTTTATAACAAGAGGTCTCCTATTATTCTCTCTGTGTTGGTTGATACAAGTTCGAGTTTATCTTCTATTGCTCGACCTGTTGCCACACGTTGTCGTCTACACTTGTGTCATGCGGCGGATCCAATTTTCATTCTTTATGGCAACGGCCATACCCATGCATGTGCACGAGATGAGGCGGACTTGGTTGTGCATGTGGGCGATCTCGAGCTTGAGTTGCAGTCGTTGCGGGTGGTGCCGAGTCAAGCTTTTGACCTCATTCTTGGTATGGATTGGTTGCAGCACAATCATGCTAAGTGTGACTTTGAGGCTTCTCCCCCTTGTCTCATACTTCCTTATGTTTCATCCATTCCTCTCACTTCCGTACCTTTTTATCCCTCTACTTCTACCTTTGCTTCCATTACTTTTGTTCCCCCACTATTTCCTCCTATGTTTCCATCTTGTTCTGCTTTTCCCTTTTCCGATCCCTCCGATGATCTTTGTGTTGCAGCTGTTGACCGGCTCATGAAAGAGTATTCTGATCTCTTTGATTTTGACCTATCGTCTGGGGCCAAGATTGCCACATGTCATTTGATTCCAACCGGGGATGCTCGTCCAATCAAGGTTCCTGTTCGTCGTCGGTCACCCAAGGAGATCAAGATTTTACATACAAACGTCAAGGAGATGTTGGAGAAGGGTGTTGTTCAGAAGTCGCGGAGTCTTTGGGCATGTGAACCTCATCTTGTAACGAAGCCTGATGGGAGTATTCGTTTTTGCATCGACTATCGTCTGTTAAATGAAGTGACGATCCCGGATGTGTACCCTCTTCCTCACATTGCTGATCTCTTGGATCGTCTAGGGTGAAGTCGTTGGTTCACCAAGCTAGATCTTGCTTTTGGGTACTGGCAAGTACCAATGGCCGCAGAAGATATTCCTAAGATTGCTTTTCGTACACCGTTTGGTTTGTACGAGTTCTTGGTGATGCCGTTTGGTTTGAACAACGCTCCAGCAACTTTCCAGCAGATGATGGACGAGGTTCTTTGTGATATGCCAAAGATGACTACCGACTTCGTTGATGATGTCTTGATTCACTCGGAGGGGATGTGGGAGGAGCACGTTCGTGATGTTTGTAAAGTGTTGGATCGGCTGATGTTGGTTTAAAGCTGAAGCGGTCAAAGTGCGTGTTTGGGTCCAAGGATACAACTTATCTTGGGTACCGTATTTCTCGTGAGGGTTTGCAAGTTGATCCTGACAAACTTGTGGCTGTTCTAAAGTTCCCTACTCCGAAATGTGTGAATGATGTGCAGCGCTTCTTGGGCAAGGTGCAGTATCTCGGTCGTTTTGTAGATCATCTTTTTGATCGCATTGCACCATTGCGAGCATTGCTAAAGTCATCAACATCATCTTTCATCTAGTCTCCAGATTGTGAGCAAGCATTCGGGGATCTCAAAAAGCTATTGACGACTCCTCCGGTTTTGGCATATCTTGACTACACTCGACCTTTTATTTTGTGTGTGGATGCTTATGACATTGGTCTTGGAGGTGTGTTGATGCAAGAGAGCTCGAGTGTGCCTGGTCAGCGCCAACCTATTGCGTATATAAGCCGTACATTACAACCAGCAGAGATGAACTATTCCACGACGGAGAAGGAGTGTTTAGCAGCAGTTTGGGGTTTCGAGAAACTTCATGCATATCTATATGGTTCTCGGACGTTACTTGAAGGTGACCATGCTGCTGTTACTTCATTATTGAAGCGGAAGAACCTGGTTGGTCGTTCTGCTCGGTGGGCTTTGAAGCTTCAGATATATGATTTTGATGTTGTTCATCGCCCAGGGAGTTCTATGGCTGATGCTGATGCCCTTTCTCGAGCTCCTCTTCCTTCTTCACTCACTTCTCATGTTTCTGACGAGCCTGTTGTTCCAGCATCTGTGGATTTTCTAGACAAGGATTCTATGCCGTCGGCAGTTGCTGTCCTTGATGTTCAGTGTCCATAAGGCGCAGAGCAAGATCTACCTTCTCTTGATGATGTTCGCGAGGCTCAAAAGATTGAGCCATGGATTTAAAGGCTTTGAGATGAGTTTGAGAATCCTGCATCACTTGTTGATGACTTGCCTTTTCGGCATTTACATTCTCAATATCACCTTGAAGATGGCCTTCTTTATTTTGTGGGGACGGGTCTTGAGGATTATTTACGGCTGGTGGTGCCTTCTGTCTTTATTCCGCGGTTTCTCTATGCCTACCATGATTCTCTTGTTCTAGGTGGGCATATGGGACACCGTCGTATAACCGAGAAGCTACGCAGGTCTTTTTACTGGCTGGAGATGCGACGTGATGTTATCCGGTATGTGCGTAGCTGCGTTCGGTGCCAAGCTCGTAATACTCCCCCTCGTGCTGTGGAAGGATGGTTGGAGTCAATTGCACTTTTCCTTCCATTTGAGTTGGTGGCGTTTGATCTTATGGGACCTTTTCCACGGTCGACTATTGGCAATGAGTATGTTATTATTGCTTCTGACTACTTGACTCGTTGGGTGGAAGTTGGTGTTCTTGCTAGCGCCTTTGCAACTGCTGTTGGCTACTTCCTCCTCAATCGAGTGGTGTTCCAGCATTCTTGTCCAGAGCGGATTCTTTCAGATAATGGTCCCGCATTTATGGCTGAGGTATTTCATGTTTTGATGTCTCGGTTGGGGATACGCCACACTTTCACGAGTGCTTATCATCCACAATCAGACAGTCTGGTGGAGTGGCTCGTTCGGACATTCAAAGGGATGATTGCGAAGTATGTGAACTTTCAGCATTCAAATTGGGATGGTTATTTGCCGTCTCTTCGATATGCATATGTCACGGGGGTGCAAAGTTCTGTTGATGCTTCACCATATAAACTCCTATATGGTCATGATCCAATATTACCAACGGAGCTAGGTTTACCTTTGCGATTGCCGCGAGCTACCGATGCTAGGTCGTGGGATCAGTATTTGACGAGCATTCTTCCACTAGTCCGAGCAGAGTCTACCGAACATTTAAGCCGCGTACAAGTAGGACAACAACGGCGCTACAACTCTCATCATCGTCCACATGTGGAGTACAAAGTGGATGATTTGGTGTTAGTCCGTTTTCCCCATCTTATGGTACGTGGTTTATCTAAGAGACTTCTTGCGTAGTGGAAAGGACCGTATCAGGTGTTGCGGCAAGTTGGACCACAAGTTTATGAGGTTTAGCATGACGTTCAGCAGGCCGATCTTCCAGAAATTGTACATGTGCAGTGGTTGAAACGCTTTGTACAAAGGGATCAGGAGCAGTTAATGCCACCTACAGATCCACCGATGCCTCCTCTTGATGTTCCTCCAGATCCTGGCCCATCTACAAGAGAACCCTGATGGTCTTCTATTATTCCGAGAGGAGGGGATGATGTGAGGGCCAAGTGTACGGCTACAATGCCGTATACTAATATTAGCGTAGTAGGATTTTGGTAGCCGTTGGATTGGTTTCAATCCGGACCACTCGCTCTTGTATATAAGCTAGGGTTTTTGGGCTAATTGATATGCACATTTCTGTATTCCCTTTCCATATTCCATGCATTCGCAATATTAATTTAATTTAAATATAATTAACCTAAATATTATACATTTAAGACTCATCGAAACACCCCTTCATTAATTTATGATATTAAGTTCCATAGGCCACTGTTATTCAAATTTACCTTTTTTTATGTTAATAGCAGCTTGATATTTATTTGCTCTCAATTACTCCATTATCTCCATAATCCTCAAAATGATTCTTTTTTAAAATGTAGTATTTGTAATAAAAATACCCTAATTAATTTTGGACCCTTAGATATAGAGAATATCCAAGCATAGTTTAGGATATTCTTTAATATATATGGAATCAAGCTTTAATTCTAAATTATATTAGTACCTCAAACGAGGTTCTCCAGGCATTGCAGCTGGCAGTCCTCTGCGGCATCCACATGCAAAACCTCGTCTTCTTGCAATCCAGGCGGGGAAGTCCAGTGAGAGCTCTTTTCCATGGTGAGTGTGTCTTGGAATTCGCTAATTAAGCCAGATGAAGAGCCAAATTTCATGGCTACCTTGGAGCTCTTGCACAGAGATTGAGTAGCAGCACGAGAAGAAATCTCTAGAAAGAATAGTGGTTCTAAAGAAGGGATCCATGCTCAAGCTTCCAGTGCTGGCTATGGATCCAAAGTCTACCTGTCAAACATACTCATCAAGTGGTGTAGCAAGCTCATGGACTTTGGGTACAAACTGTTCACTGGCAAGAAGCAGAAGTTTTTACTTGTCCTCAAGGCCGATAGCATCCAAACTGCAATGTTTTTCAAGTTGTTCTTAAGAAAATGTACTTTGGGCAGTTTTGTTGCCATAAGTATGTTTGCTTTGATTTGCACATCCTGGACTTTGGGCTAAGTGTAATTCTTAACTTCAAAGTTTATAAAGTTTTATCTGCGATCTTTCTTGATAGCTGCCTTTCACCTTGATATGAGCTATTGCCTCTACAAGATTTTTCTGGCTACAAAAATGCATCACAGAAGGGGCCAACTAGAGCAATGATTAGTGTCCACTATGTTTCACTCTTTTGGCTCTCACCCAAGGCTATCCACTACCACCTTTTTGAAATCGGAGATGAGTACTCTGCACTAAATATTGGATCACATCATGTATGTTTGGTGGGTATGATCTCTTGTCCACTGGAAGCTGAAACATCCAAGTTCTGGGTATGTTCTTTGGTCCCAGTTCATGTCTAATTAGGTTTGAGGTTGAAATTGAGAAAAAAAATCCAACATGTCAAGAGTGAGCTCCTGGTGTACAACTAGAAAATCCCCCTCACGAATGTGGAAAAGAGATGCTCCAAGGAAGTAAACTGCAGCGCTAGTAAGTTCAGTGCTCAACGATTGTAATCGCTGTTATTCCTTAATTACCGTTTCTAAGCTGGAGATGGTAATATTAACCATGGTTGATATGTACAAAGGCCAGGTGGAGCTCACGTGATTGTATACTTGAAAATAAAGTTACATGTCATCAACTAGCACTCCTCGTTTTCTAATGATTCTCGTCCCTCGGTTAGCCTCTCCTCCAGAGAGCTTTCTCTTGTTCGCCATTTCCTGGCTAGCTCTCTTACTTCTTCGCAGAGGCAAAGGCTCAAGCGCTAGCATTGCAACCTGCGGAGAAGAACGAGTGTTGATCCTTTTGCTACATTCTTGTCTGCTGCTTCCTCCATCACCAGTCGGATCGATTGCGATTACAGCTATCTGGTTGCCTTCTCTTGCTGCTGCTTCGTTTCCCCCCTGTTCGTCGAGATCAATCACCAGAGGTGAGACTTGTAGCCTGGTGGCGGAGCGAGTCCGCATTCTTCTGTGAGCCTCAAGGTTTGTCTCTTCCACGCGTGAGACAGCTTCCAAATCCTTCCTCGACTTCTTCACGGGCTCTGTTTCGGCCATCTTAGAAGATCCGCGAGCTTGCTTCTCAGCTGTCTCCTCATGGGACCTGTCTCGTCTTCTCGCTATTCTTTTCGGCTGTAGACGCTTTGGCTCTTCCACTGGTGCCGCCAACAGCTCCAGATTTCTATCGCCCTTGTCTTCCACTCCATCACCTTTACACTCTTGCTCTTCGCGCTTTCGAGCATTTTCCACATTTCTCCTGTCTGTCCGCGATGAGGGCCTTCTTCGTACCAGAGTTCCCCGTTTCGTTGAGATGCCGGCTTTTGTTGTTGTATCTGAGCGCTGGTATCCGTTGTTGAGGGAGCTAAAAATTCGTTGTCCCAGACCACAGCATCAGCACACTTGTCCTTAACAGCCACTGCTTCCAAAGGTAGAGATGGCATCTTTTGTTGTTGTATCGGAGCTAAAGTTTTGTTCTCTGTGACCACTGCGACCACAACCTCAGCACACTTGTCCTCGACAGCCACTGCTTCCAAAGGTAGAGATGGCTCCCACGAGTACTCGATGCAATCACTCGCCATCTCATTCCCTGGAGACGGCTCCTCCTCACTTCGTTTCTCGGGATTTCCCAGAAGATTGTCACCAGCCGGTACTCTGCTTTGCTGGTGGAGCAGCTCTTCGGATTCCTTGCTCTTTGGAGTGCTCGTTGGTTTCTCCGAGTTCTTCACCCGATCGTCGTCAACTGATCCATTACTCTTCGGTCCTTCTTTCTCAGCCAAATCCGGCTCAGCCACTCCCCGGTCAACTTCTTGTTCGTTGAATTGAGGATCTAGATTGCCGGCTAGACTCTTCTCTGTTACCTTGTGTGGATCGCTCGGTCGAGCCATTGCCCCCAATCGCTGCTGCTTGGTCTTCACTGGTGCGGCCTTTCCCCCCTTCGAGCGTTTTCTTTCGAGCTTCAAACTCGCTAGATCTTCTTTACTGGCACCCGAAGTGCTCGTTCCTGCTTCCTCCTCGATACTCGTCTTGTCGCATAACCTGTCATCGATGTCATCAATGCTTTCGCTTGGACGCTTCCTCTCGGCTTTGGCCCCGTCGTCGACCAACAGGCTTCTCTCGAGCACAATCTCTTCTTTGTCAGGCATACTTTTCTCCACGATCTTGTGAAGTGCGTCAATAGATGGCACTGGATTTTCCACACGATCACCATTTTCGTCTCCACCATCTTTCTCGAGCTCACCATCATCCATTCTTTCCCGGCACGCCACTGGAATCCCGGCACCCTTCCTCTCACACTCTACCAATCTCTGGCTCCTCCTTTGCCGATCGCTACGCGGCTGGAGAATCCTCACACTACTCTTTCTCCTTGCCTGCTTCCTGGGCCGCGACGAGACGCTCTTGATCTGCCGTGCCTTGGCAAGCTCCTGGCGTAGACTCAGCGGCCTTCGCTCCTCCTCCTGCACTGGAGCAGCATTTGTTGGCCTGTCAATCGATCCTCCAGCTTCCAGGCAGCTCTCCAGGTCCAGCACCTCCATTTCCAGATCGAATCGGAGATGAGCCTCCATCTGCTCGAAGTAATCCGCGTCCGACACATTCCCTTCCATTGGCGCAAAAGCCCCGGAAGCAGCTGCCGCTGTCAATCTTGCCAGGGGAATCGACACCGCCGTGCTGGTGAGTCACGAGAGAGATCATCACTCCAGCGTCTAGCTAGCGAACTCCACACAGCCGCATTCTCACCTCCGATCAACGCCCATTCCCGAAGAACCCTAAAACCTCTTTTTTATTTTTATGCTAAAAGCGGGAGTCTTGTTACCGGATTCGAACTCTCAACAAGCTGGTCGACTTGTTGACTAGTCAAAGCCTTTTGAAAGTTTAGTCTATGGAGAAAAAATGCTAGTCTATGGAGAGAAGGCAATGCTTGGAGCAAATCCAATCGTGTAGGACGCTTGCCGAAGCCGAGAATCTCCACTCGCGCATCCCGCCATGGATGAGCTCCGACAAATTCGTGGCCAAGAAGCTTATCGAGATGTATGGACGGTGTGGGAGCCTGGCAAAAGCGCGATCCATTTTCGATGCCATCGACGGCCCAAAAGATTCGTTCGCATGGAATCTTCTCCTCGCATCGTACTGCAGGAACGCATCTCTGGAAGAATCCAGGCACATCTTCTTCCAGATTCCCAATCCAGACCTTGTGGCGTGGACAACCATGGTATCTGCATATGCCCAGGCAGGGCATCCACTGCAAGCCAGGGAGTTCTTTGTAAGAATGCCACAGTGGAATATGGTGACGTGTAACTCCATGTTGGCCGCTTACGCACAAAACGGACATGTTGAGGAGGCCAAGTTTGTGTTTGACTTTTTGCCAGAGCAAAATCTTGTGTCTTGGAACTCTATGCTTGCGGCATATACCCAAAACGGGCATTTGGAGAAAATGAGACAAATCTTTGGCTCAATGCCTGTTCATGATTTAATCTCCTGGTGCTCTGTGTTAAGCGCTTACGTCCAACATGAAAAGCTTGAGGAAGCAGTGTCAGTGTATGACTCAATGCCGGAGAGAGATTTAATTACTTGGAACGCCATGCTTGATGGATATGCAAAAACCGGACATTTACGAAAAGCCAAAACTTTGTTTGACTCGCTGCCACAGAGAAACCTGATCTCGGTCACGGTTCTTCTGGTGGGCTTTGCGCAGTCCCGGAATCTTAGCGATGCAAAGAGAATCTTTACGACAATGCCCGAGAGAGACACTGTGTCGTGGACTGCTATGCTCGCTGCATATACGCAAAACGGTCATTTGGAGGAAGCCAAGCTCGTGTTTGACACGATGCCGCAGCGGAGTTTGGTCTCTTGGAACGCGATACTCTCTGCTTTTGTGCAAAACGGCGTCCATCTCGAGCAAACCAAGGCTCTGTTCGACTCGATGCCGGAGAGAGACATGGTGTCTTTCAATGCAATGCTCGCGGCTTACTCGTGGAGCGGCTACGCGGAAGACGCAGCGAAAATGTTTGGCATCGAACTTCCGGACCGAAACCTTGTCTCCTGGAACACTCTCCTATCTGGATTCGCCGAGAACGGTCATGTTTGCCAAGCTCGATCCCTGTTCCTCCAAATGCCCGAGCGAGATCTGCTCTCCTGGAGTGCCATGCTCGTCGCCTTTGCGCAAAATGGACGCTTCGCCTCGGCCCTTGACACATTCGAATCCATGAAAACGCTCGAGCTTCCCGACCACCTATGTTTCCGGGAGATCTTTCTCGTTTGCAACCACGTCGGGAAGGCTTCCATGGGAAGATCACATTTTGCTTCCATGCAGTTGGACTTCGAGCTGGAGCCGACCAAGCACCACTTTTGCTGCATGGTGGATCTCTTGAGCCGGGCTGGTTATCTCGAAGACGCAGAGGATTTGATCAAAACCATGCCTTTTCTGCCGGATGTGGTCGAATGGACGAGCTTGCTCGCTGCTTGCAAGAGCTATGGCGATGTTGAGCGAGGTACTCGAGCGGCACAAGCGGTGTGTGAGTTCGAGCCCGAGAATGGTGGGTTTTACGTGTCACTGGCCACCGTGCATGCCATTAAGAAAATAGTGGCGAAGGATTTGCTTTGCCCTAATTTTTGACGAGGTCGTTCTCTCTTGTTTTTCAACTTTCCTTTTTCTCTCGCTCGACTTACCATTGGCGTCGTTGATCAGCTTCTTCACAGAAGCCATCTGGGCTCCAGATATCGCGCACAGCCGAGCCGGGAAATTAATGCAGCATTCTCGGAATTCCTTCCGGGCTCACGCATGGTCCAATTTGGCTGTCTGTGCAGGACAAATCTCATCCTAGTTCAATCCAGATCCACATTGGAAATCCTTTCATCATGAAATCCAATGATGTGGATAGTAATACCCTAGATGGCGAGATTTAATGACTTTATAAGATTCCAGCAAAGAGCAAGGCAATATGAGGATTTTCTTGTGGTTTAGAAGATCAGAAAGGACGTGCATTGGAGCAGAGTTGAAGGAAGAAGAGCTCCAAGTGCATCTGATAAACCAGGCAACGCCACAGCTGAGCGTGTTATGAGATGAAACACCAAAGGTGTGAGATCATAAATTAGGAAGCGGCAGTGGACAAGATCCAAGGTCTCAGAACAAGCTGGAAGCAGCAATGCACAAGCTCAATGTTTAGTTTGGTTTGATGTGAGGAAAAAAAAAAATTATATAGATAGGAAGATAATAAACATTTTGGAAGTTTATAATTATAAACATGTTTATAACTAATAAGCACAAGATTAATATTATTGCATTAGATGGTAGAATAAATTAGAATATACTAGAAAGTGTTATGAAAGTTTATAAACTATAAATACAAGATTAATCTAAATGAATTACATTAGATGGTAGAATATCCTAGAATATCCAGGCATAATCTAGGCATATTCACTATATGTTTAAGCAAACCAAAAATAAATTCCCAAAATTCAATAGATTGCATTCAGTCAAGCATAATGCTAAGCTCTCACTTCTAGATAAGCCATCTCCCACTGGAATTCTCCTACAGGAGGGTAATCAACCATCTTTTGCTTTAAGGATCTCAACTATAGTCCATTCCTTATAGCCTCCAAACTGAAAGCTATGTTGTGGTGTGCACCATGAGTATTAGAAGAAGCAATCCTTAGGAGCAAATCCCCATGCCAACAATATTAAACTGCAACATAGAAAGACTAGATTGATTGTTGTTGAGCTAGGGACTATCATGAGCTTCAGATGCTCTATGACAGGGAAATCTCAATGTGAAGGATTATTTAATGATCGAGCTTCTAGTCCACTACTTCTAGATATTCATATGGCCAAAGAGGATTTTGGAAATGATTAATTATGGAGCAATGGGGAAAGATCCATCCTATACAAATCTCCTAGAAGACATCAAACAAGCTCATGAGATCCAAGACTTTATATCCTTCTTCAAAACGACCCCAAATATCCATGATTTTTCATATGAATACATAGTGATGAGCTTGGGAAATGCTTAAAACATGTGATTACCCATGGAGAGAGTTGAGTAGGAAGAGCAATCAAAGTGCCATTTTTCGTTTTGCTTTAAGCTTAAACATATATTCTATTAGTAAAATATTAATATTAAATATTGATTATAAATGAATTAGAGAAAAGTTTAAGAGCAGTAAACCATAACCATTGGATTAAGGAACATTTTAGAATATAGCTAGATATTTTGAGTATATACTTTACACCCCTCTAAAGTAAATCAAAATAATTTGCTACCCTATATAATTACTAGCAATGCTTGGTTCGCTTTGGAAAACTAATATTCTATTTTTTTATTAATGCTATCAAAAATATTATTAATATAATAATATTGTTACTTTTATGACTAATAAATATTAAAATAAAAAATTAATAATTATAATTATTTTTAATATAAAGTTTTAATTTCCTTAAAATTATTTTAATTTATGAGTATCAGCTACAATGACATATATTATTATTAGCATAATGAAAATTTAATAGCCATCAGATTATTTTCAATCCAAACCACTTGCTTTGTGTATATAAGCTAGGTTTTTGGGCTAATTAAATATACATATTTTTATATTCCAATCACTCACATTAGTGAAAGTGAGGAGTAGCTCTAATTGTCTTTAAGAAGTGCTTAGATTTATTTTTAGTTTAAATCTAGCTTTTACATTGTTTAGATCTCTCTCATTTTTATAGTTTTTTCATTTTTTTCTTTTTTTCATTCATTTTTATGGAAAAGTAACATACTCATCCTTTAAAACAACTTCTTTTTCCATAGCTAGATTTCTTCCATGAGAATTTTAGGGATGATATGCACTATTGGTTTGATCACTTTACCATCTATCATTCTTGGGATGTTTAAGTTTAGCCACTTCGGCCATCTCCTAGACATTTTCAAGTATGTAATTAGATATATTAACAACTATAATGATGTCTTTTATCAGGGCTTGTTTAAATTAGTTATGCAATTTAATCTTCACTTCCTAAGCCCAGTAATATTTAAACCTAAGAATTCTTAACCCTAAACATCCCAAAAATTAGGGATGCACCTTTCCCTCTATATTTAAACCTTTAAAAATTATATTTTGAGTCATTCTTTTTTTGTTTCTTACAATCTATCACACTTCTTTATAAATTTATAATTCACCAAGCTTTATAATAAATTCACACCCTTGTGGATTGAAGTTGAGAGCTACCCCGCTCTCTTGGCCCTCGGGTCAAGGCCGACTAGACATAAACTAGACCTACTATATATTAATCTCAATATGTGCTCTAACTAAATGTAGCGCATATGATCATGGGATGAGATTTGGATATATTGTCACCGTGAATCCTTGGAACCTTGGGGAATAAATGGGGATAAAATAGCCATTAAGGGCTCTCTCATAAAGTAATTGCTCCTTTTTTAGTGCACTACAGTACTATAACACACCTTATCTTTCTCCCCTTAAGCCAACTGGAAAAGGGGTAATTGCTTGATGAGAGAGCCTTTAGTGGCTATTTTATCCCCATTTATCCCCCAAGGTTCCAAGGATCCACGGTGACAGTATATCCAAATCTCATCCCATGATCACATGCGCTACACTCACCCCCTCTTTAGAGATATCAATGTCCTCATTGACTATTGACTAACAACCCTCTCTCATCAAGCCCTTAGTGGCTATTTTATCCCCATTTATCCCCCAAGGTTCCAAGGATCCACGGTGACAGTATATCCAAATCTCATCCCATAATCACATACGCTACACTCACCCCCTCTTTAGAGATATCAATGTCCTCATTGACTATTGACTAACAACCCCTACTGAGCCAAGGGGAACCAGCACCTCCATTTCCGCACTAAATCTACCAATCCTTCCATTGTGTAGATCAGCTATTCCATGTGAGGCAACTAGTCATCCATTCGTACCGCAGTCCCACGGTGGATACCTTCGTCCGTAGATACTCCACACAAGAGGAAGGACGTACACATGGATGCCCAATACATACAATTTTAAATTTAGGGGTAGGAATATACCTTGCTCAAGGGTATATTATACTTTTAAGTAGCCATTAATCAATGGGAATCGAATCTGTGCCATTTGCTCCGATACCAACTGTAGCGCACGTGGTTTTGACCCTTTATCCTATGGTGATTTACCATAGAATAACACCACAAAGCGGAACCTAAACCCTCTTTGTGCCACGTGATAAATGCCACATGTCACACACCACATGTCCATGCCACGTGTCCATAGGAACCCGAGGTTCAAGGCCTTGGGCCACTAAACAAAGGAATGGTGCCAAACTCCCAAGCGTGAAGCCAAAGAGTGATGGAACTGAACCACGGAGCAACTCCTGAGCATAAAGCCCAAGGAGCGAAGGGACAGGAGCCCGGAGCGACTTGGAACAGTCCTAGAGTAACTAGCATCCCAATGCTAGGACCAACACGCAAAACGGAGCCAAATAGAGTCTGGCGCTATTTCGGCATACCGGTGGCCTAACGCGAGGACATAGGTACTCCACCAACTAGCATGGAATGGAACTTGGGCTTAGACCCAAGCCGGACGCAGAACAAGGACAGGCACGCAAGCGGGAGCTAGACTATGCCTCAGGTTGGTCGGCCATGCCCGACCTACCCACTATCCCTACTATACATTTGGAACCCCCCAGAGAACTAAGAGCCAGGCCGAGTATGCTCAACTAGAAACACATAGGAGTTCCTACTTTATGTCCATCTGGCTAAGTACAGGTGCTAAGCCCAGTAAACTAACACTTGAACAAGAGGGGCTAATAAAGGGAACCAGCAATACTGACCTCCTGCCATCGTGGCAGTAAGGTAAGAGTGTCCGTAAGGACTAACTGACAGGTAACTTTCGATACAGTTAATGTTAGCCTATCGGTGGTTCCATGAGTTGCTCCAGTGGTTCCATGAGTTGTTTTGTGTACCATAGGTGAAAGCAAACCTTCCCTGAGTTTGCTATGAGTGGCAAATAGGCTGGTCCGTAGCTGTTTAGCACGGCACTAATGGATCCTTCCTAGGCATGATTATAAGTGGATCAATCAAGACTATAGGGATTAGTCTATTGATTCAAGTAGTCATTGCCGTGCTCTCTCATAAACTTTTCTTGAATTGGACTGAAGGCAGTGCTAAAGCAAGCTTGAGGTTTAGTCAAAGATGAGACCGAAAAGAGAGTCGCGGGGACGAAGGATCAAACATGTAAATCATCTTCTCTTCTTGGAGAGATGATTTGCAACGAAGTGTTAACTCATTGCTCATGTTCACATCATGCAATCAAGAGTCCCTACCTTGATGCATTTGGAGGTGATGGTCTTACAAATAGTGAGTTGTGGGATGGATAGCGGTGAAGCGCTATACCATTTTGTTTAGGCTTGTTATTGGAGGACTTGGGTTGCAATGCTCAATTCTTTTCCGGGGAACCTTGCTATTGCTCTTTGAGTAGCTTAGTGTTGGATTAGTTTTGAGTTTGGTCGGAAAAAGAGTGGCATGAGTTTGTCTGTGTTGTGAACAAAAGTTAGTGGTGTTAGGTGTTGTAAATCTTTTATCGGTGGAGTGTGGCATTTATGTTGCATTTTGTCGAGTCGAGTTGACACTTGATACT